GACATTATAAAAGTAGGCTTATGAGATCACCACGCTCTCTGTGTCTGTGAATCCTCAGCCCCTTCAAATTTGGAATGCCTGGAACTTGGTATATATATCATGGCACCTGAGCCCATATCAACGGCGTACTTCATAAATCTCTCCCATCAGTCTGTGTGTCTGCATGTGTATACACCTATTGTTGCTAGACAACGGCTCGGTAAATAAGTTACTGCGGCGAAGAATACACATGCAACAACAGAAGAACTGCTGAGCACGTAGTTTTCCATGCGGTCTGTGTCGTATCAGGAAAGTATATGACTAATTCTTCACAGAACTTCCTGTTAATACTTCGGTTTCATAATTGGAAATTACATTGAGTGGTCAAAGTGTCTATGCATCGATACTAACGAGGCTGCTGCAATGTCAAGAAAGTATAGTGGAGTCACTGAACATACCAGAGATGTCACACCAACTGTTGTGTGGACTCTGGTGTATACACAAAGAATGACTGCCAGAAAAAGCAATGGTGGTGGTTAATTCAAGTTCAGCCTTTAAATTCTACAGCATTTGTGTCGTTTGTAAACAGAAAGGCATTGCACATGAACTGGTCTTAACAATAGCATGTTCCTTGGCTGTGTCGAGGGAGGTACTTGCTCCCACTTCAGTTTCGTGATGAGAGGCGAATTTCTATCAGGGACATAACAAATTTTAATGAAAGAACTGTTTCAATTATATGTTTCATGGCTGACATATTCCTGAAATGTGTTTACCTATCTGAATGGCCCAAATTTTAGCGCAGAAGGGAGAGCTGTAACAATTTCTGAAGTAGAAGACTGAATGAAAGCTATGATTATGAAATTCGACTTGGGGTCAGAACTTACATGAATCATTTCCGCTACTCAGTGATATCATAGCTTCCGGTGGAGAGTTCTCTCAAGGAAAAAATAATCATAACATTCAGCACTTGTAGAGCTTGAAAATAGTTTCAGAGATCATTTTCCTCCATCTGATGCCAATAATGTTTTGGGGACTCTTTTGCGGCACATTTAAAAGCTTAAAGGATTTAGCATGTACGAAGCAGAGACCAAGATAATCACTCAGGATACGTGGCTCGGTACGCTCTGATACATTCTGAACGTATTCGCATAGTAGGGGGTGGAGTCCAGTTGGGTCCACTCAGCACGGCGGCCATTGATTGGCCTATTGTACCTTCCTCGGGTGATTATGATGATGGAGAATTTGGTGGAATGAAGAATGGCAGGGGAAACCGAAGTACTCGGAGAAAACCTGCCCCAGCGCCACTTTATCCACCACAAATACCACTTGACCAGACCGGGTTTGAACCCGGGCCGCCGCGGTGGGAAGCCAGCGACTAACCGTTTCAGCTATGGTGCGGCCCATTCTGAACCTTAGGTCAAGTAAAGATAAAAAAAATGTCAACATCTCTACCGGGAATCGAGACGCAGCCATTCAATTCGTAGCTCATCACTTTACTGAGATCCCACGGTTGTGCAGAAATAAGTAAACTAAAGCTATGAAAAAATGCATATGCGTAGTTTGGTGGCACCCGAAAATCAGGCCAGTTCACAATTACTTCAGATACAATAAGTACCCATCAATTTACCATTCGCCACCGCTATCGACCTATTAACTGAACAAATCGATAATTCGAAATATGTATGTTCGAATATCTTCGCTTTATACGGAAGGAAACAGAGTGTGTCTGAGAGAGACAGAATTATACATATATGCATACAACACATCATCTCCAATGTTACTATTGTGTTGNCGGGATCTTTGCCACAGTTTTCGATAATTTCCTATGGACTGATTTTAATCTTATGTATATATATATAATTTTGTACAGAATTTTGAAAATGTAGATAATATGCTTGATATTTCATGTCTTTTGGATGCATTATTTTTCTACTTTGAGAATGCCAAAATAATTAACCTATTCATCGACAAATTACCACAACAGTGATATCGAACACTTAAAACATTACGCTTGTAAAGAGTACAGACATTCTCTGAACCGTTAACACTGCAGTACATGAAGGGGGATAGAGAGAACAGAAACCTAGACTGCTTCAATTTCCACGAATTTTAAAATGAGTTTAAATGATTTATTTATTATGATTTATTATTTATTTATCCAAGAGAATATTTTGACGTAAGAGGGAGGAAGGAAAAGGAAGAAAGAGAAAACTGTATAACGGAAAATTTATTAATTTAAATCTTCAAAGTGTAAGCTGATCAAAGCAAGGAGGTTGAAATGTGCAAGGTCATGTAGCACATAGAGAGAAATTATTTAAAAATGTAGTTTGAAAACATGAAGCCAAGGTGTCACTTCGAAACGTAGCAATAAGTGAAATATAATATTACAAGGGAATCTCATAAATGTTCTAATAAGAAAGTCAATAGAAAGTCCGTCCAGTGTAACAATTTGTAGGTCACTTCTTTATCACTTCTGCCTTACATGTTTCGGTTTAGTACAACCATCATCAGAGGCACATAGTACAATCATGAAAACACTGTCGTTGTTTAAGATGTACACAGTTTTGTTTGCTGCGTGGACGCTGCTACAATGTGTCGACGTGTAAAAGCACAACACTTGTTAGGATTGTTGAATGCACTATCAATCCTCACATTCCATCCGAAACTTCCCTCAAGTTAAAAACGTCAATGTTAAAATATTCAAAATATCTTAAAACATTTAAAAATTTTTTTAAAACATTTAAAACATTTGATGCAAATATTAAGCTCCTCCTTGTTGATTCATCCCAAAGATGGGAGATGTCAGCTTTGGTTGTATGTCTTGTAGTTAGATGTTTCCAATGTGCTGTGTGTTGTGTACACAACAATTATGGGGAGATGCACAGAGAGACAGGCTACACATACGGATACACATACAGACAGACAGACAGTAAGGTGATCTCATAAGCCTATATTTATTTTTTAAATAAGGAAAACGGGCTAAAAATGTGCCCTTGGATATGAGATCGAGAGAACAGGCAACTACTTCATGACTATTTCCGCCACCCATGTTTAAAGTTCAAAGAAAATAAACAGTTTTGAAAATTTTGGCAACAAGAATATTTGCCTTGTGTCCAAAACTTACGAGTGGCTTTATACAGAAAAATAATTCCTTACAAAAAGAAAACTATTACAAGCTTGGCTGTCAACTTCATTCACTGCTACACATCGAATTTCATTCTGGGACAGTAAACAGATAACATTTTTTTCTTGGCACTACAGCCCCAGTGGGCCTAGGCCTACCTCGATGAACTTCTTCGTTCACTTCGGTTTTTCTAGATCTTACACATTCGGTAGGACTCCTTGGGCGGGTGATCAGCTCGTCGCAAGGCCTCTACCTGTACACAAACACATATAAACGCACACACACAAACTAAACATCCATGTCCTGAGTGGGATTCGAACCCACGATCCCGGTTTCCAAGAGAGCGAAGACGGTACATGCCTTAGACCGCTTGGCTACCGTGACCGGCCAACAGATTATATACTGTACCTAAAACATAGTTGTTTATGTCGATAGATTTTCGTATAAAACTTCAGCCCGAATTACAAGGTGAATTGAAAGAAATTGCTACATCCTACTGAATATACAGCCTGGAAACAAAGCCCCCTTCATATCAAGAGGCACTGGAATACAAATCGTAGACGCGAAGAGATCCTGGATGGTCGCTGAAGCGCTGGAGAGACTACGTACATCTACCGGCAGTAGTACCAGCCGGAGTGCTCAGTGATAAAGGAGGTTCACTTACACACCTGAGCACACGCCGCATGGCCAAGGTACCATACGTGCTTCCCCTTCACCTCGTCCCACTGGGCCCCCATATTCCCTCTCTCTCTCTCTCTCTCTCTCTGCGGCTGGGATGCAGACGAAATTTTTGCTCTCTCTGGCAGACCCATAAACCACCAGAAACTCACCCAGCCCCGCAACCCAGGGATGATTGAGGCACTTCGCAAACGATTCTGTGAGGCTGCCCATTCATCAGATGTCGCTGCAAAACAGTGGCGTCTTACCTTCACGCCGTCTATCCATATTTCGTATCTTGTAAAACATACATTTACATCAGTGGTTCTCGGCCTTTGTTGATGAACCCATTAGGGAAGGAACACATTGTACGTAGGTCATTTACTTAACGATGCAAGTTTCTTGCTAGCAAAACACAAAAATATTCACAAGTGCAACAACAGTCTGAAAATACCAAGAAAAGAAACCGCTTGGGAGGTCTATGCTAACATGCAAAGTTAATATTAGAACGAGTCACAGGGAAGTAAATAGGGTGATGGTTCGGAGTGGATTTTTCGGGCCCGGGATATGATTTAATTGTGGGTTCCATAAAAAACAAAATTTCTTAATCAGGTGAGAAATTATCCACTTCTCACGACGGACTCCGTCTATGCAGTTAGCCATTTATTATAAACAGCAGCAATTATTTAGAGTTGAAGGGTAAGGGAATTGTCGTGTTCGGCGAGTCTGAAAGGACTGGAGCCCATTTCAAGGCACTGAACACGATATTCACATAAAGAAAATTTGTCAGGATTGTCCATGTCGTAGGCCGAGATTCGAACAGCGCAAGTAAGAAGTGGTGCAGTTTCAACTAACTTTCTGGGTACATGATATGTTCGGAAGGACTGGCCGGAAAGAAGCATTATGGAGATTCTGCAAAGCCAAACTATGTAACAGGCCATAAAGCCTGCAGCTACGTTGCTACCGAACTTTTTGTGATTTCTTAAAACTGCGTACTTAGGCCGGGGGGGGGGGTTACTCAGCACAGGCTGTACTTCCTTCCAGAAGAACAACAATCTGCGCAAAACTGTTGAATATCTCAGCGGCTTGCATATGTGCTACGTCAGTATTGCAGAGCTACATAAAGGAAGACAAGGACAAGCAGAGTAAAAACTGTACAAAAAATGGGAGGAGTTTGGAGGATGTGGTTCGAAGAGTGAGAGTTTGGGAACAACTGTCTCTTCTCAACACTCCTACCGACCTTTCTGCAGGATCTCCAGGTGCTCCCACAAGATGTCTCCCATGAAGGGCGGCGCACGTGCTAGGAAGGCCTCCTTGCCCATGGCACACATGTCCTTTCCTTTCATGTGGAACTGATGCATTGTAACGCCCTCCAACGAGAACTCCCTGATCGCCCAGCACAGCCAATGCGCCACGTTCGCTTCGTTCCACAGCTTGGGGTCTGCACATACGAAAACAATCATCAGGGTTTCCACTCACTCTCTTCTCCCCTTCTGCCAATCATAATTTTAAAGCCAGCATTAATATCATCAAACAGGCCTATTAAAAAGGTAAAACTGTCCCAGTGCTTAACCAATTAAGAACTACGCCTTGAAGACGTATGGGGGAATATATGTATAGAGCCAAGTATTTTTGACCTATGCACTAGTTGGAAGAGGTCAGGTCCACGCTCCGACGGCTTAACCACCAGGCAAAGAGCCCACGGTATCCAATGGAAGAAGACTGGGTGGGTTCCAAAGCCGCTCTGAACGACATAGAGAGGAGAAAACTCTTTCCCCTATCAGTACTCGAACTCAAATTCCTGGGCCGTCTAACCAGCAGGCAGTCGCTATCCGGGCTCCCGAACAGATCTATTATAAGACTATACTGTGAACATTTTTTTAAATTGGCTCATGTACCACAGTTGCGTTACTTAATGAAAAGCAGATATCAAGTATCTCACCGCTAATTCATCGTTACCCGTCTTCATCTATGAGCAATAGCTATTATACACTCGGCCACTGAGGCTGCAAACAAATGGTGGATCTGTATGTGTTCTGGGCAGCTTCACGTGGCTACAGGCTTGTCCTCGTCAGTACGGTCCAAAACCCACATGATTACATCGTAGCAACAGAGAGAGGACTTCGGCAATTATCACTGGTAAGAATAATAATCTCAAACATGTAAGCAATTTACCAACAATGAGAAGAGCACAGCAGTGGGTTTTGTGTGCACTTCTGGTCTCGAACTCTAACAGCAAATCAATATGGCCCAGTCTGGCAATTTCTATTCGAATCATTCGCAGATAAGATTAGAAGAAACCATGGCCTCTAAAGAAAGAAATGTTTCCGACGAATTTATAATTACTGAGTTGGTCTTTTGAAAGGCATTTTTAATGTCACCTTTATGTGCTTCCAGCGGTGAGTGATTCCTGCCAAATCCCTCCCTCGTTAGTGATATTAACCATCAATGGCTGACTTCATTCTGTTTCATACAAAACATGGCCCTCGTTCGTTTCCATACTACTGTGGTATTTTTAATATAGACGCTGCCATTGTAGTGAGCAATGGTGTAGCCATGGAGACGCTGATCAAATTGGGGGCATTAGCTGACCCGAGAGAAAGTACAATACAGACATAAACAATGAAGTGTAGTCCCTGGAAACCGCAGTTATGCGGACAGCAGGGGTGCCACAGAGGGTAAGTGTTCGTAGCCTCGGAAACAAACTTACTTCACTTAACCACTAATCAAACCGTGTTTCCCGGACCTGCAAGGCTGGTTCTTAGGAGATTAGGCCCAGATGGAGTAAAATGAGCTAGGAAGGTGACCATGAATGACGAGAAGACGAAAGTTTGCAAGGTTGAAGTCGTGACTATGTCGTGATTATTTGTCTAGACAGATGAAGAAATATCACGACAGCCTGGCAGAGACGACAACAGAATATCTCCCAAATACATGTCTAAATATAAAACTCCATAGCCTGTAGTCCGCAAGCGAACTATACCGACCGAGCGACCGCCGCTTGTCGGCGAAGTTGGTGCCAACTTTAGCTGATAGAGAGCGTCGCGTGGTCAGTGCAACGGATCCCCACGGTCGTTAATTTCAGTTTTCTAGACCGGAGCCCGTATTTCCTTGTAATAGCTCCTCAATTATTCTCACGAGGCTGAGTCGACCCCGTTCCAGACCCACTACTTCTCAGAAAATCTGGTAGCGGCGGAAATCGGACACGGGACCTCTGGATCTGTAGCTAGGAACTCTAACCACTAGACCACAGAGACGGTTCATGTCTATATATAGGACTATAAAATTTCACGGTAGGTCTAAATTACTTGGGGATGAATTTTAGTGGGTACCTGTGAAATAATCCTTAGTGACGGCGTATTTTTGTACGTGTATTAGTTTAACGTAAATTAAAAGTCCTACGCCTAATATGGGTGATGCCGCTCTGTTTACAGGAAATCGCAGGGCTGAGTTTTTAGCCTGTTTCAACTTCCTATTTGAAATGGAGACCCACTGCACATCCAATTCCCTTCCTTTCACAAGGCACGTCATTTGCTAAGATTCGTGAAGGTTTATCTAGTGGGAGTGAGGGGTACGGTACTTCATATGAATGTGCTGAGAAGGCAGGCTTAGAGTACTACACTGTGGTTTGCAAATATTGTCGGCATATGCACTTCAAATCCATCTTCAATCTTAAAAGGGGACGATAGGAAGAGAAGATGAGTGCCTGTTCTTCCCGTGAAGTAGGAACTACGAGTATATGTCTCCAGTCATTTCAGCTTTCGGAAAGAGACTGTGTAACCCGTTACGTTAAAGCTATCTCTGTAACAGACCATGAAGGCCCATAGGTTTGAGACAGGGCGAGACTCCCACATATTCTAGACAATCGGCTCACATTTCGGTGAGGCTGTCAGCCTTATGCCCCGGCCGCTCTTTACCCCAAGAAAGATTCCTGGTACTCATTTCTGTTACGAGACTAAGTCGACCCCAGGGCCATAGTGCGGCTGGAAGGATTTGGTCATTTAAAAAATCCAACGATCTCATCGTTAAAACAGGTAGAAATGTTAACTCATTCAACAAATTTTGAAAAGGACACGGGTTATGAGTCTCTTGAGGTGTAATGCGATTGCATCTTGGCTTATTTAACATTTTATCAACTGCTGAGGTGCGCATCGCCAAATGGCACAAAGGACATGTTTATGAGCGGCGTTTTGAGAACGTTGCAAGAAGTCGACATACTATTATAGGCCTACTATTCTGGAGAGACATGGAACCACGTGAAAACGTCCTTCAGGCCTATCGGTTTCCCAAAGACCTAGTAATAAGTAGCAGGAAACAGGTGTTACTAATTGTGATTTCAAATGAAGATAATTTGGAGACAGAACATATGGAGAGGCCTCGAAGATGTCACCCTCATCTCTGCATATGCACCCACATGAAACAGACTTAGGGATAAGCAGACCTATGAATAAATGGAAAGATTACCAGTCATCAAGGGAAGAGGAGAGCTCGCCACTACACAGACGGTACCATCAGACGCTGCGCTCAAAAACACGGTGTTCAATAAAACGATGCAACTGTCAAGTGTCACACACCCCTGAAGGCAATTAACAACAAGCGCTGAATGAGGCTGGATTACAATGGGATCACGTAGCCAATGAGCACTGTGTGGGGGGCGGCCTGGCTTTTAATTGGATGCTTCACAAAACGCATCCAATCATGGTCCAGCCACACAAACAATGCCCAGTGCTATCCAAGCTGCACACAACCAGTTCCTCTGCAGATAATGATATTGCCGCGTCACATGGTATATACCATTTGAACTTCAGAACGGACAGTCATTATTAGCTTCTGCCTATACTTCACGTTCCATGAAAGCCTTCTAAATATTCATGATATAAGCGTGGGAGACTTGCTAAGTTACTTTCATTTCTTTGTTCCATTTATTTATGAAATTCGTCTGTGAACTGTAGGTACAAGTATGCTGTAATAAGTTATGAACAACATTACAGAAGCAGAGTTCTTGCAGCCTGGTTCACGTAAGGTTCGGCCACTATTCTCACTCGTGCTCGACCTCCAAATCTTTAATCTCGATGACTGATCAATATTAAAGTTTACATTTCTGACTACGAGTATGTATGTTCGTCCACCAGGAAAGGCCTCACATAGGGGCGAGCCTGGCCGTTCAACTGAGTCCTCACATGCACACGTCATGGCGGTATTCACGAAAGAGTTCAGAGTCGCAAACGCCACAAGATGAAGGCCGAATGGTTGCGGTAACATGGACATGTGTTTCAGGAGATCGTTTAACAGCTCTCCAGCAACTTCTGTACTATGAACCGAGAGGACGACGTGACCCAGGAATACCAAAACGAAGAAACCTACAAGGCTTGATGCTTGACGACGGAACAGGCTAACAAGCTCAGTCCTTGCAGACGATGGAGATTAATTCAGTTTGAAAAGCAGGATCTGGTGATGGGAGGGGAAGCATCTGTGCCTAGAGCACAGCTGATTTCATTTCGTAATAAAATGCAGTGTTCGCGAGTGTTCACTCCTTACCCCCCCCCCAACCCACTGGCGTTACTGGCTACAAATCGCAACTGACTAGATGTAGACACACAGGAAATTCTCACGGACTCATGACTGATTTTTACCTCATTTAACGAAATTTTCCAGCGTCATAGGTAAATGGAGACATGATGTTCATCATGAATAGCGACTACACAAGGATTTGTAGGTCGTGACCTAACGACTATCCCAGCATTCGCTCAGGGAAATTGAGGAAAATCAAGGCAGGCTTCGATATAGCCAATGCCCCAGTCGATAATTCAACTGGTTAGTCCTGTATTATAAATATAACCGTGTATCATTTATGGCTGTAAAAACCGCTGGAACTCTACAGGAGGGAAAAGCTGTTTATCCAACCGATATGCAATGCTACTACAGGCCTGCATCATACACAAACCGCTGGAAATCCACTGGAGGGAAAAGCTGTTTATACATCCGATATGCAATTCTACTACAGGCCTGCATCGCATATGTCCCTCCTGTGCCATCACTCACAAAGTCTGCGCGTCACTAGGTTCACTGAGGTTAGCCTTAAGGCGCTAGACACAGGATACTTGTGACAATATGGTGCCTAACAGAGACCTACGACAAAACCACATTTAACTCCCTCCTACACACAGTTCAGTTGCCTAATACGAACTGCAGTGGCGCTCTATCATTAGGACAAGTGATCTGTTGTTTTGAAAGTCTTCATAAAAGTTGTTTGGAAAACATTCGCGTGGGAGTGCCAGTCTCGACATGTTCTGCAACATCACTCACTATGACAGTTGTATCAAAAGTTGGCAGTATGCTGGCAACGATTGGTGGCCCTGTTTCTTGAAAATCACAAGCGTGTCCTGTGGATCATTCACAAATGCTAGGTTCCTTCTTTGAGGGTGAGAACAAAACAGACAC